GGGGAAGGTCGGGGAGAGAGATCAGAAAGGAGATAGAGGAGAGGAGGAGAGAGGAGAGAGGAGAGAGAAGAGAATGGTTGTTGGGATTAATTGTTGGTGGGGCCCACTAAATTTAGTGTTGGATGAAATTACACCACTATCCTTCTAGCTATTTATTTGTTCATGATATAAAATATATTTACAGATTCGCCATTGCAAATTTGACCTCTTAAATCAATTTTGACTTAATGATGTCCATTGATTGTACTGATCCCATGATACATAATCATTCTTATTTCTTTCACTATCTACCATTCTCATATGATCCCTTCTATAAATATATATATATATATATATATATATATATATATATATAGTGAGAGAGAGATAGGGATGATTATTTGAAAAGTACCTAGTCCAAATTGAAATTATCTTTATTCTGAATAAAGGTTGTGAAGTTAGTTATGGCCACATACAGATTTTAGATGTATTGCAAAATATAATAATAATGGGTAATATAATATATGTAAGGGAACTTTCAAGGGAATTTAAAAGAACCAAAGTCACAAGGAATCTTCTTTATGTGGGCAGTGGGCACTAAGGGGTGGAAATAAATAGGAGTAAACTCCAAAATTCTTCAACCAGATAGAACCTCCAAAATGCTACTTTTAATTATAAATTTTTATTTTTATATATCTATTTTAAAGAAATGTATGTCTGTTTTATTATGGATAAAATGCAAAATTTATACATTACTATTGGCTGTTTTCCATTTTTATCCGCTAACTTTTAAAGGTTGCAGATTAGTACAATAATTTTACTTTTTTTTTTTTTTATCGATTTTATCTTATAAATTCTTTAGAGTTTCAATTTGTCAATTAATTTTTAATTTTGTCAATTCTTTCATTTTCTGGTTTATACCAAATTGAAGCTTTCGCAGGGTGAATCGGCACTCGCCCGCGCTTTCGCCGGGCGAATTAGCACTCGCCCGAGGCCGAGAAGCCTTTACACTCGTCCAATATTTCACCTGGACGGAAATTGGGGCGAGTGTGAAATTTTAAATGTGTGTGAACCAATGTATGGTTTGAGTGATCTATAAATACATTTAGCCCCTTGTGTTGGGGGCACCTTAGATTTTATTTCTCACTTTTCTACTTTAGGAATTGTTCTCTCATTTTTTAGTTTTCTCTCTACTATTATAATTGGAGCTCTATGACATCATTTTTCCGGCGACTTTCAGGCAACATCATTTTTATTCAAGTTTCAAGCTTTTTGTTCCGATTCTCGTCTAGCACGCAATAGAGGAGTGGGTACTAGCTTCTAGTTTGCCTCGTTTTTGCTTATGGATTATTTTCAAAGTAAGTTTAGGTGTTTGCTTGATGGATGAGAGAAAGTTTGGAGCTTTTTGTTTTCATTGTTTGCCTAAGTGATTAGAGTAGCTTATCTAGTTTTAAAGGTTGAGACCTTAATTAAGGCTTAATCATTTAGTTTAGAAAACTAATATTAATTATCTAGGGCTTGGTGCTTGCATATTCCTTTTAGTTGTTTGCATTTATTCGTGTAATAGAGACTCCGGTAGTTTAAATTTCTATCTTTTCTCGTTTAGCTTTGCTTGCTTGCTTTTAATCGCTCTTAATTACTAGCTTAGCTTTGTTAGAATATCACTTGTGGGTTGTCCCAAATCGTTCATACATGGAAAATATACCCACTTTATAAGTCTAATGGTCTACTCCTCCTTTCACTAATTGATTTTGGGATGGAACTCCACTTGGGCTTCATTTGAGCTTTCCTGTCATGGTGAGCTTCATGTTAGTGGGACCGCACCCGTTTTCCCTCAGTTTCTGTCATGATATCAGAGCTAATTCTATTAGTAACCGTGCGATGACGTACCCGTCACCCAGCCTAGTTGGACTTGGGCTTTCGAAGGATTCACAAGTGAGGGGGCGTGTTAGAATATCACTTGTGAGTTGTCCCACAAGTGAGGGGGCGTGTTAGAATATCACTTGTGAGTTGTCCCACATCGTTCATACATGGAAAATAGATCCACTTTATAAGTCTAATGGGCTACTCCTCCTTCCACCAATTGGTTTTGGGATGAAACCCCACTTGGGCTCATATGGGATTATCCCCACTTTGGTGCGCTTCATGATAGTGGGACCGGACCCGTTTTACCCCAGTTTCTGTCAGCTTAGCATTAATTCAACCACAAACTCATTTATTAGAATGTTTAGGCTTTTGTTTTCTCGTTTTATGACATTGGACAACTATGTAGCGAGCGAAGCTCCGAATCGCTTTTCTTGAAAGACGACCCGAGGCTCGAATTACTCGGTTACTAATTATTCTCGCTCTAAACTACTCAACAATACGAAATACCCTTATAATGTAAAAGTATTACAATCAAAGCTAAAAATGTGCTTATAAAATTAAAGCCTAAATAACAATTATATATGTATATATTACTCTAACGATGTTCAATAAGAAAGCTAGCTCCTAATAGCTTGTTGCCTCTTTATTGATCATTGAACATTCACTACAAAAAAATTGTTATATTCTAACGAAAAATCCTACGTTAATATATCAGAAATTCTATGGTGCCCATATGGGCACCATAGAATTTCTGGTTAACATATTCCGATGGTAATTTCAACGGATATTTCAATGGTATAGTTTCCGTTGGAATTATTCTAACAAAATTTCAACTTAAATATTCCGTTGAAATGAGTTTTCCATTGAAATTTTAGATGAAATTTGATTATTCTAGTGACAATTTTTCCAACGGTTTTTTACCATAGGAATATCTGTTGGAACTTTTTTTTCATCCCCGTTAGAAAATCTACCGTTGGAATTGTCAAATTTCAACAGAAATTTCAATAGAAAACTCAATTCAACGAAAATAATAGCATTAAAATATTTATTAGAATTTCATCTTTTTCTTGCAGTGATTCTGACAAACTTAACCAGAAAATCGCCATGAAGCTTAACCAGAAAATTTCAATGGATTGAACTAGTTTTTATTTGGTTTGATTTTTAACTATAGTTAATTTTGAAAAAGATGGTATGGTTAGTTTTTAGTGGATATATTAAAATAATATTTAAATAAAATAATTAAAGTTGATTTGATGTAAAGTAGGAGAAAAATGATTGGAAGTGATTGTTAGTTAAAGTTATGTGAGTGGATGAATAGTAAATTAAAATTGATGTGATGTGTAAAAATGATTAGTTGATATTATTTAATTATATTAATAATATTGATGATAGTGAGGTTGAGTTAAAGTTGAGTTAAATTTGAGTTTTGATTGGTTTTTTTATTATTCAATTCATATACAATCATCCCCTTAGTAATTAACGAGAATTCAGTTTAAAATTTCATCCGTTATTTTTCAAACAAAATTGACACAAAATAAAACCTAATTTAGCAAATTGCAAACCCAAAATGTTTGTCAACAAATAATTATAACAGGAAAAGTGAGTACTCTAAAATTGCGAAAAAAGAAATAAAATTGTAATTTTCTGACCAGTTTTTGAACGGATTTAGCAAATAAATACAATCACTAGAAGACAAAGGGTAAAAATGTTCCACGTGCAATGTATATGGCGTTATTCTCCAGTATTCCCCTAAATCTGTGGGAGGGGGAATTAAGGATTAGTCTTCAATCTTCATATAAAATTAGATTTAAGAAAAACAAAACAAAACAAAAAAGATATAAATATAGTCTCTGAGCAGTAGGCACTAGCTTAGGTGGTCATTCAAGATTGGAAAATTGTGTCAATTATAAGTAAATAATTACTAATATGTAGATTTCATTCGAAGAAGGTGGGAAAAGATAGAACAAGAAAAAATGGTCTCTGTTGGTCTATAAATAATAATTTTTTGTATGGTCATCTAATTGATAGAGATTCGAGTCATTATCATAGCTTCATCGCATGCGAGATCGCAAGATGAATTAGATTTCCTTAGTTATTGTCATGATTTAGTAGATGCATCGGTTTTTAATTAGTTATAGTAATTTGTTGTTTAAAGTTGGGGTCGACCCTCTGGCACTTGGTCAGTGGTTTTTTAGGAGGCTTCCGGTAGGGCTGGGAT